AATGTGTTTTGATATGATACACAGTTATGTGTGCAGTTATTGGCACATTTATGATTTTACGTGTTTATCTTGACATTATCTTGGCATCTTGAGCAAACCACCTCGTATTACTTTCACGTTTCATATATTTACCCCAGTGTACGTACAGCCGGACGTTCCTTCAACTTCTTCTACATAAGCAGGTTTGAAAGCAATCTGATCTTAAAGAAGGGAGGGGGGAAAAAATGAAAAATGCAAACATCTGCGCTGGCTCTAAATATGTTGCTAGATTTAATGATAAAATTCTTAGCTTTTACCCCCTGTTTTTTATTTATTTTTATTTTTTTGCACGTCATTCGGTTACAGAGAAAATGTGATTTTAATGAAACTCTATTAATTCTAGGATTAAAACACAGACTACACAAAGCCATAGTGTAAGCCTTCACATTACTGATGCTGCCACTAACAGCTTGAAGCAAAAAGGGCCTCGTCAAGCTGTCAGTGCGGCAGCTCCACTGACTGACATTATCTACACTAATAAACCAGAGGCGGGATCTGCAGCCTGATGATGGACAGCTCTGTGGTTGGAGTTCGCCCGGGGCTATTTGCAGATTGTTGGAGAAGTTACTTTTCCCTTCACGTCTTCCACTGCCTTTGGAGCAGAGCAGATACTGATGTGACTCAGCTGTTAGGCAGAGAATAGCTGCTGAGGTTAGCCATTTAGCCTAACTTCATGAGATGTTAATCTTGGACATGACAAGGACAGTTATTATGTGGCCGCAGTTTTTTTTTTTCAAGGGTTTGCAGGGTTTCCAATTTTTTAGCATGCTTTTCATAATTTAGCTTTTTTTTTTCAACTCATTTGAAGGTACACTATGGAAACAAAATGTGGTTTGCCAGCTGTAGCCTGAAAAGAAAGGCTGGTGTTGACTGGGGTACAATCTCATTAAGGAAAAGAAAAAAAATGCAATATAAATATAATACTAATTTAAAAATAATTCAAGTTTTATCCTTTAATGTGTCAACCTGTGTATATTTTAATATTTATCTGAAATGTATTGTTGTACCACCTATACTGAGCAACCTAAGTAAAATACTGTATTTTTTTTTTCAATCTCTCAGTGTTTTCATACCAGACATTGATGAATACGAAGGGCAGACAGTCCAACCTAACCCTCTATACTTCACCTCTGTGTGGTGCGATAATGTGGGTGAGACGGCGTCGCCGTGGCAACGGGCTTTCTATCTCCTGTGATCATGGCTTCACGATAAAAGGAGAGAGTTGTCTGTCTTCACAACTCCAGAGATGAACGAGGTGTGCATGAAGAATTACCACCAGGACCCGTCTCCTCCAGTTTTACTGCTTCAGGTGCCTCAGCCCCCCCCCCCCCCCCCCCCGCACTCCCTCTCATTACCACAGTGAAGGTATGCATCTATCAAGAGGAAGATACCTAAATCATCTCTTGCACCGGAGCTAGGGGTTGGAATGCCAGGGCTGATATGGCTCAACACACTTCTGCTTGAGTGTGCATGCTTGCTTGTGTGCACGCCTCTGCTCAGGTAACATATTTCTTGTTGCTGTTCAAGTTTTCTATTCAGAGGAGTCCAAGAGACATGAGCGATGACTCTGGGAAACGAAGGTAAGACAAGACACCCATTTACAGTTCAATTTATGATTATAAGATAACAGGCATAACAATAATTCAAGCTGCAATAAAGAGTTTACGCAACGTTACTTCAGTCACTCTTGACTTTTGAGCAATTTTTAATTGAAAGTTCAAATAAACCAGGATCTTCCGGTGCTATATAAACCTTGCACACTAATTTAGGTATTCAAAGATTAGCTGATTATTGCTTGGGCAAATAGTGATTGCCAACTGTTGTTTGCAACCCCTGAATTAAGCCATCAACACCTAAACATTTTTTTTTTTTTTTGGCTTTATCCCCGACTGGAAATACAGGTTCACTGCTGGAAGTGAGCAGATGCTCCCATGGTGACATCTGTCCTGTAAACAGATTCAAAACAAAGACGCTCACAGAGAAAATACTTTTCTTTGTTCTGAATTATTCCCCTAAAGCGTGTAACTCACAAATGGAGAGGAACAGTGATGAGTGAGTGACAGTACAAGTATCATACTGGTATGTGTATCAGACATAACACATTTAACAAATCAAGTACACAGCAACAGTCCAACTGACATTTCCAGGGCTGTTGATGGTAAGGTATGTGCAGTATGATGGCAAAGCCTCGTCCTTCATTGTACCAGCCACTACACCATTACTGCAAAGTATATGCAGCGAAGCCTGAATGCAGTTTTATTCCCTGGCATTAAAACAAAAAATACTTTGGTCCTCAATCGAAATTTACTTCAAATTCAAGATTTGTTTGTTGCTTTGAGATACTTTGTGTGTGCAGAGGAAGAGCCGATGCAGGACCCTAACTGGGGCTAATGCTAATGCTTATGCTAGCTTAGTTGTGAAAGTATTTCTTTAACTTACCATGGATTCATCCTGAAGACTCATTTTCCACTCATACCTTTCTCAGCCAATGCGTGTGGAGGAAAATAAAAATGTCTTCCCAGACTGTTTGAACAAACACTGTGGGAAAATTTTAAATATTCACATTTTAATGGTGAGTCACGCCGCATTATAACACGGTGGTTTGCATCCACTGCTGAGCGTTGTCTCCATCATTTTTGCCAAGAAATGTAAATTTAGCATCAGGTTTTTTCGAGCTGACTATTAGATTTGTCAGGATAGGGAGAAAAAAAAAGTGCAGTTAGTGCCTGCATTTACCAGCGTGCGTCAGTATTTCTACATTTTGACAAAATGCAAACATAAACTAGTGCAGTACATTACATCTTGCACATCTTGATATTGCTCTGTCCTCTGCAGGAGCGTGCTAATAACTTGTACTGAGCTGAAAGAGTTGAGGGTGAAAAAAAAAAAAGAAACGACAGAGAAAGTAAAGCACCTCCTTCAGCGCTCAGGCATTTCCTTCTGGGATATCCCCCTCTTATGACCTCTGAGGGGAAAAACGAGAGATGGTGCAGAGGAAAAAGTGAATGTAAAACTGGCACAGTCCTTTAGGGTGTGTCCTCCTGAGAGTTACGGGGTAGCAAGCTACAATGACCTTTAATGGATTTGAGTGACAGCCAGTCAGTGCTGGATCAGCCTGCAAGGAGTGGCTGGAAAGAGGCCCTTTCTCTATTGTTCTCTCCGTGACAGGTCCTACCATGCTTCAGTGAGGGCAGGTGCTTTAGGGTGTCAAAATAGGAAGACCCACGGACAGGCTTGGCTGCTGTCCATGCTCCTCTGGCATATGACAAAAGATCGACTCTCACCTTGGCACAAAAGGACGGCCAAATGTGAGAGCAGGTCGTTTACAAAGACCTGCAAAGGACTCCATGCTCTGCCTTAACGGGAAAGGCTTGAATAACGCCAGGTCCCAAATGAATGCGTGCCTTGGAAAGATCCGGTCATCTTCTTTATCTTCTGTTGAGTGTGTGCCATGAAATATAATCAGAATGACAGTTGTCTTTCCACACATGCTGATATGTGATCTTAATTAAATAAAGAGCATTTTGACGTTTTGTCCTGACCAAGTCAATCGTACTGATTTTTTGGGGGGGATTTTAAATCAAGCATTACAAATGTAGGTTTTATCAAGACTGTGGAGAAAAAAAAAAGATGATAAAAAGTGAATTTTTGAATAATGATTAAAGGATACGCATAATTGTCCAGGATCCAAATGAAGACCACAAGAAGGAGCCAAGTTGTTATCAAAGCTCGAGTGATTATTTTCCACAAGATTTTCCTGTCAGGATGTTATGAATGTCTCCATGTTCAGTGGCCGGTGATAAATGGTGTCGCTCTGCTGTGCTGATGTCATAAAACAGCCTCAAGACCCGACTTCCCCTCCAGCAAGTGTGCTCTGTAGGATGTACTCACTCTGCCCTATTCACGACAGACGGCATGTGTGTATGGGTGTGTGTATGTTTGTCTCCACTGCGTAGGTGCAAACATATCCTTACTTCAAAACAAGTTCCTGGAATGGTTCTAAGTCTTAAATTCTTCCTCTTCCTTCTTGTGTTGGTCTTATGTTTCTGCCTATATAATAATGTCAATGTCAAATCAATAATTAACAACTCAGTGTGGCTCTGAGAGCTGGAACATCCAACGTCTGGCATCCACTCGTCTTCTCATGACATTCAACACGTGCTGGATTCTCAAAAACACTTGTAAGAGCCAAATGAGTTATAATTAAATTAGTTTGTAAGTTCCCTGGATTTACAGTAATCACAGGAAGAACTAGTTCTAAGGCCTTTCAATTAGAGGTGAGTTGAGTTGACATAAATGCAAGACAAACTTTTACACAGCTTCTACACCCCGGGTATTTGGACGCCATGACCATCTACTAAATATTGGGAAAATATATATTTTTTACTTAGATAGACATACATAAACACAGGTCAACTTTTGTCTTAGTATTCAATAGTATTCAAATATGATTAATATATTCAGTTCATTCATGTGGACTGTTAATATTTGCCATAGTTTAAATGGTATGTACTTAGTACTTACTAGTATATAGTGCTTTTCTACACGACTCAAAGCACTTTACTTTGGCATCTACCTACTGATAGAAAAGTCAGGAATCTATCCCACAACCCTCCTTATTATTACTTTACACCATATCTTGTTCAGTGACGTTATGTTTCACTAGAAGCCATTTGAGTCACAGGCCTGTAAAGGGTCAACATTCCTCATGTTTGGTTTGTAATCTCATATGAGATATGGACGTTGAAGTCCAGAGAGGTCTGAGGTGATTTTGAATCTGCCCGCGTCCACGTGCCTGTCAGTGTGTGTAATTTTTGGATTACTTTCTTCCATTTTCCCGCTCACTCTATCTCCTCCGTCAGTGTGGGCTGACTAAGTTTCTCCAGTGCCAGGGGAGTCTGTTGCCATTGTTCTGGGCTCTGACGGCAGCAGAGTTGTCGTTGATGGACAACACTACTGATTCCCTCGCTCTTCCTGTACAGACCCAGACTGAGCGGTTTGCTCCACCGCTCTTATCACTCATGTCACTGTGCCAGCAGAGAGGAAAGCTGTGGGAGTATTAAGACCAGGAGAGATTTTCCCCAGCGTTCTTTCGTTTGACAAAAAGCCAGCCTTCGATCTGAGGCGATGACTGAGGAAGCTTGGTAGTGGTTTCAGTGTGAGCAATTATATGTGACAGAGGTAGAAGTTAAATGCCCTTTGCGTTATGACTGTGTTTCTCCCTGTTTGGGCATGACAAGTTGAGAGAGATTATTGCTGCTGATAAGATAAGAATGTAGCAGTCGCCTACTCTGGTTGCTGGTGCAGAAGGAGGAAATGCCTATCTGATGGGCTTTTCAAGTTGGATTCTGAATGGACAGACTGGGAAGGACAACGGCATTTATACTGTTGAAATCTACATCTCATTTGCTCACAGACATGACCACTGGGAAGTGTTGGAAACAATAGAAACACACGAAAGAACTGTAGCAGGAACATAACGTTAGCAAACTCAGACTTGTTGTTGTCGTTACTGTGCAGAATGTTGTGTCTACAAAACATATTTGTATTAGCATGAATAATCACCATCTAGATTTTTTCTTCTTACATAATATTTCTCTCCTCCCACTTCCATGTTTCACTGTGAGGATGCTCTTCTTTGGGTTAAATTCCTCTCCCTTTCTTTTACAAATTAAGGCAACACCTCCATGGTTTATTGTTGTATTTTTGTCTGTCTTAGTCTTAGTGCCTGTGACCATTGTCAATAGCCACTTTCAGTACATTTTAAAGGAGTCTCTTCAGTCTCTTCTTCTCCAATTGCTATGACTGAATAAATACATAAGTTGTAAAATGCAAAGTAGAATAAATTGATGTGTTTAAAAATAGCCTTTAACTTTAAATAATACCGTCTGAGAACACATTTTTACTTGAAATATTTGATTTATTGAATTATTTCTTGAACATTTTTCCTTCACCCGTGATTTGTGTCATGTGTTAACTCATAGTCATACTTTCATTTCAGGTGAAAAGGCAATAACTTATGCATTTTTTTAAATCCCAACTGCCTTCACAGCTTTCGCCCATCTTAATCTCTGTGGATTAGGAGGTACCGCCTGTCTGTTATCCCTCAGTGGGTGGAGATACAGATCCAGGTGCTCTATGGCTCCTTTTGTCTCCCTGACCTGACTTCAACTAACATACATCAGGCCACAAATATTTCTCAGACAAGATTTTCAAGTCTCTGCGTCCGGATCACGTACGCGCAGGATGAGATTTGCGGAGAGAAAAAGACAAGGTGTAGACATATAAAGCATGTATGTAATCTCAGAAATGCTCACATACGTCCTGCCAACAAAGGAAGCCCCTATTACATTGTTGCATGATCCTATCATTTAAATCACACACACACGGCTCCTGTGTTTATTTTTCTTAGGATACATTTTCTGTATACACCCGAGACAGAGAGAGTCCTTCTCAATGCCTCTGCCAAACACCATGAAAACACCAGCCGAGGTTCAGTCCAAGACATTTAAATGTGGCCCACACTGGAATCCAGACCTGACTGTCTAGCAGTTGCCAGACCAGACCTCCTATGTTTTGTCCTCCCCTGGCAAAAGCAAGTCAATTATTGAGAAAGTGCGTGAACAGGGGTCAATGTGTTTTTCCAGAGGTTAAATCAAGTGTGTAACCTCCACGCTGAAGATTGATGATTGCCTCCCGACAGCCAATGAGACACAGCCTGGGACTTCTGTGAACTTTGGAGCGGCCCACAACCCTGCTCCCCAATTTGCAGGAGGTGCTGTGTGGAGGTGACCGGAGTACACAGCTATTCATTTCTGTAAACTGCCAGTGGAGTCCAGCCCGCCCCGCGAGCAGGCCCAGCACTTTCATGTTTCCGCATACGGCATGCCCTGTGCAATCCGGCCGCCTGTTATGAGCATGAAGTAAACAAAACATTAGGTCATCATAAATCACCAGCCAATGACATGTCTGGAGCTGAGATTAGACAAGAGCGGAGTAGAGCAGTGGAGCATGGAGCAGGGAAGCCAGCCTCTCGTATCTGCAGCCCGCAGCTGATTCTCTCCTCCTCGGTCCCAAAGTGTAAGATCATTATTGAAATTGCAGCTCAATTAAGATAAGGTTAAATGACTTTCTCTGTCTGCCGCTTTGATCTTCAGGGGACTTTCTCCTCACTAGATCTGAAAAACGTTGCAGCTCAGGAGACAGTCACTAGGTCTGCACTTTGATCTCAAAGTTGTAGGACGTAGAAAAGTTAGAGTATTTTCTGCAACAAAAGAATTCAAACGGCTTAAAAACTGTGAATAATTCAGGCTACAGAAAAGTTTCTGTTCTGTTTTAGACACTAGCATGCATCCAAGGTCATGCACATTCAGCAGCAGTTTCCACATGTGGCACACAGACTTCCCTGTGTCTTTTTTTCAATATGAATGACTGAATAACAAGTCCTTAACTCCTTATGTTTTCTGCGGACGCAGTCCTCGCACTCAAACCTGTGACTTTCCCTGTGTCCAAACTTCCGAACTGAGTTTCAGGAATCAGCTTCTACCTTTGTTTATTTTTTCAAACAAAATTGGATTTCCCATTCAAAACATTTAACATTAGAAATATTTGCCTTTTGTTTTCTTTTTCCCTGTTACCAAAACGTCCCTGGTGCTTGTAGTTTTTATTGCATTATTTGAAAACGATCCCAGTAGGATTTGGAAAATTCTAAAGAGTCTAACACAATGTTTCATTTTCTTTTATTTAAAGACCAGAGATAATTTAACCCTTTTCACAGAATGACAAAGAGCTGAGGCTTAGCATTGACGTGTGCAACACATTCCTCGTCAGCTCTTCATTTTCCGTTGCCACAGGCCCCGAGTGCTGAAACGTGACGTTTTTTCCTGCATGTCTCTGCTGAATCAGTGTAACTGAACATGTCTCCTACTGTTGTACACTGGTGTACAGATCAAATTGTACACGTGTGTGAGTGTATGAGTGTACGAAAACCCCCAAAGGATAAAATGTTAACATTATTTTCATCAGCTCCTAGGAACTTATTGCCACTGACATGCGATAATAAAAAGTAATACAACGTTAACAAGAAGTAGAACAAGATTTCAACAGAAATCTAGATTTTCTTTTTACCAGAACTAATTCAAATTCCTAACTTTCCTTCTGTGTCCATTGGTAATCTGTGTTCCCTTTGTCGTAAAGTTCATGTATTTGCCTGACTTCTCACTGTAAACACAATGGCTGAAACATCAGAGGCCCCAGCACTGGGGATGTTTATATGAGCAGAGAGAGGCTGGAGATGGAACAGAGATACGAGTACTGATCTGTGAAAGGAACCACCGCTGTATCGCTGCTGCTCGCCATCAGGCACAAACACCATCTGGATGCCTCTCGCCAGACAGAGAAGGCCTCACACCTGCACACCTCACAGAAAACACACAAAGAGCAGCTGATATGAAGTAAAAGTATATTTCTCAGAAGATTCTGAGCTCAGCAGCTCTAAAAGTCAGATTGAAGCACCGTTTGATTTAAAGTCTATAATTGCAAAAGCTTCAAAATCGCTTCAGGAGTCTGTCACTACCTCCACGGTGACCTTTTACTTCTTCATTGATGTTTACAGATTAAGTTAAACTAACTTCCCTTTTTGGAGCATTCCACAGACTCACATCTGTGATTTTGGAACTCGCTTTCAACGCAACAATGCAGCCAAGCACGGCACTGGAGAATGGACGGCTTAGAGAAAATGAGTTAACTGGCCTGAGAGTAAACAATGGGCTGTCAGAAGGAAGGGTTTTCCTTACAGAGGTCAGGGGTCAGCTTGTCCTTTGACACTACCACAGACTGTGGACATTTGATATTAATTTTAGGTCAGTGAAAATGCCGTGATCAGCAGCGTGCTGTTGTTTTTGTTTTAGTGTTTGTTTGTTTGGAAGCGTGTCTGTCATAATACATACGTAATAAAATCGGTTTGAATTTTCTTTTCTTTTTTTTTGTTTGCATTTTGGTCACGTTAACTCTCATAGCAAAGTGTAAGGTCATTTTAAAGGTCACGGGATTCAGCAAATCTCTGTTGACTGATCTGTTAGACCATACACTGTTGTTTATTTATTTATTTTTAATTTTTTTAAAATGATTTTGTTGTCCTTGTATAAAATAAATAGTTCACTTTTGTGAAAGAAAATGTCCTGCAAAGCTTCAATAACACAAAACACTTAAATGATGCTCTTTTAAACAAACAAACAAACAAAAAAAAACTAATCAAAACAAAGTAGCCTTAAAGGTAGTTGCTACAAAAACTGCAAGGTAAGTAAGAAATAGCCCCATTAGAAATAGATAATATGTATCACAGGAAAATGTAAAACAAAGCTCAAGAATTCACAAAAAAAATCTAAATAAAAAATAAAAATATGCAAATGTTTGCCAAAAATAGGAAAAGATAATCATAACGATTGCTTTAAAAAAATAGAAATAGAACTTTATATGTCTATTTATGTAGAAAATATATTTTTATATCACAGCATCTATACACTCATACCAGACGGTATTCCATTGTTTAAGAAAATACATGCTAACTCAGTTCACTCATTACTACCAAGTTGCCAACTATCGGGGAAATTCTTTGACGCAATGTTGTGTAAAAATTATCTAGTAACTTGGAAATAATAATAAAATACGCCTGAAATTCTTTTACAGAGGCAAATAAAATCCCTTGTTAAAGAGAGAGAATTTCCAACCCTGGTGTGTGGTAAATCCCTGCTACTGTGTCTGTAGGGGACTGATGATTCTCTGTAGGAGGAACACGGAGCAGAGCGACTGCAGCTACGTTGGCTGTTATAAAATACGACTGCAAGCGGAGATACAGTCATGGACCTGCAGAAAAGATTAATGCACAACAAATGGATGTTGTTTCAGCCCAAGTAAGGTTGATAATGATTTAAAAAAAATAAATAAACTCAGGCCCTCAGTCACGTAAATGTCACTTACCAAGTCTGTTAAAATTACTGCAAGCATGTCCAATGTCTGGCCTGGGGACCACTCGTGCCACTTGGATTGGTTTTATGGCCCTGTGACTTCTTCATTTTTATTTACCGGCATGGCAGAAAATTAACTTAACAGAGTGATTTTTGCTGCGTTGAAATATGTCTACGAGACATTGAAAGGATTCCCAGGAAACTTTTATCAAATATTACATTTTTTTTACTTTGGCTATTATGGGACAGAGTTTTCTCTTTATTCTTGTTCATTAGCCTGCTATATTTCTAAGAGCTTTCCGTTATTTTGAAGCGAACCTGTGAGCTAACAGCAATCACACGAGCTTTACTTCGAGTTTGTTCACCAGTACATTTCTTCAGTGAAATGGTTGCAGTCATTACGCTTTGACAGAGGTTCGCAACTTCTACACCAATATTATATTTTCATGGTTACCATCAGGAAAATAATTCCTAACAGCCTTTGTCAATTTTCTATCCTGTGATATAAGGCTCAGAGGCCCGTTAGATGATTTCTAATAAAATTTGAATATATATTTTTCCTTCAGGATTACCATGGTTTCATGAGCATTTCTAAATAAATTAAATTTGAGGCTAACACCAAGTATTACCATGTGTTTTTTCAGCAACAAGTGAAGGTTGTATTTCACTCCTAAAAACCCCTTTTTTCAGATGAGTGGTAAAACTGAGGGCTTTCTTAATATTTCTTATGTTTTTCTTATCTGACCGCATAGAAAGACAGCAGTGTTTTGCAGAACTCCGTCCAAACCTGGGCGGTTGAGTTCAATAACATCAGAAGTTACACACTAACAAATATAATGCTCTAAATAAATCTGTCAAAATGCAGTGCATTTGTCTGGCACTCAATGAGAAAATCACACAAGAAATATCAACTTGACCAGGGTGTTTCTACGTTATTTTAAAATCTGATCTGCCTTAAAAAAAAAAAAAGTTTGGACACTTCTTCATTACAAAAGCCCAGGGAGAAATACAAGCAAAGTGTGATACAACTTTTTCCCTTCTGGATGTGTTATTGTTGACATTTGGATTTTCTCTAGTAGTAGTGAATTTTCATCACTTTTCCATCAGATAATTTCATGACATGCTGACCTCCTCTGCAGATTGACAGAGCAAACATGTGATCACATGTTTTCATCTCCAGTGTCTCTCAAAGAAATAACAGTGGAATCTGTTTTTAATAAATCAGCCGCACAATATTGGATTAGTGTGTTCCCAGAGAGCACGGAGCTGTGCCTCCTTTTTTAGTACACACTCCCCGCTGCCATGTGACCTTCACAATAAGAGACAGAGTCGAGGCAGGGGAAGATGTGACAAGACCATTTGTGGGAAATAAGTCAGGAGGTAGTAGACGGTTTTGGTGGTCGCCCAAATTAACAAAAATGTCTCTATGTGATTGCACAATCACTCACGTCTACACACGGCTGCCAAAAATTAATAGTTTTTTTTTTCAGGGTCTCTGCACAAACACTTACAAAAACAGCAAATCTTTCTAATAAAATCTGACTTCATGTATGCTTTCCTCAGCGTTCCACCCACAGTGAGAAGCCACTTCTCCCTTCTGTATTAATAAAACATGAAATATATCTGCAAACCAATTTCACACTGTCTCTTCTGCTGGATTCTCTTTTCTGTTTTGTAGGAACTACAAACATTAAAAGAAAACAGTAATTATCAGCCTCTTTTTCACTCTGTTTACATGATGCCCTCAAATCTACAGAATGTGTAATAATCAATATCTGGTTAAAAATGCAATTTGTATGCGTTTACAATATTTTGTGAAAAAAAAAATTAATCTTTGGGACATATTTCCAGCCTAAAGCTTTAAGTCTTGGAACTTAAACATTTGCAAAAATAAATAAAAATTACTTTGGACAACATAAATCTGATTGATGGCATTTTTGCA